GAGCAAACTGAGAAAGCATCCTGGTAGTGGGACTAAGTTCACAGCTCTGCATCTAGAAATATTTCCACTCAAGCATATGAAAGCCTCAACCATAACACTACCTCTGTCAGAAGGTCTCCTTTTTGTATAGAAAGTGGCATGAACAGAGACAGGAGAAGAGGACAGGGACTATACTAATTCTATTAAAAGCCTATACAGCAATTAAAGTGTATTGGGGACTATATACTGACTGCCTCAGTCACAAAAACTAATGTCATCGTATAGGAGATGAAAATCTCAGCTACAATATGCTTCTTGACACTCAATCCTTGATGAATTGTGTCAAAGTTTATATTTGGAGGGAGGAGAAAGCAAAAAAGGATAAAAATTTGTCCAAGTTCCTGCAAGACTCACCTATATTCATGAGAGTGAAAACACCTTGAGTATTCACCATGAACTGCTGCCATGGAAGCTAAAGAGCTATCCTACCACCATTAACAGCAATCATGGGGACAGAGCATCAGCCCTAGACAACAGTCTGCCCCAGTACAGCTCTCCTAATTCCCACAGAACCGGTGTGAATTTGCACTGCGGGCATTGCTGGATCAGAAAATGGGACTCTGGAACCCTATGGTCAAACACATAAGAGAAGTCAAAAGTCAGAGTTCAGTCAGTGCTTCATTTGACCCGCCAAAGGGGGGGGTGGAAGGAGGAGGCTGTGCCATCCTACTCCCTGCTTCAAGGGATCAAAGTACAGTATTTGTTGGTCCAGCAGCAGATTGATAATAACACAGCTCAAGTATCACTGAGGACTGTAAGCAAAGTGGAAGAAGAAATTTGTTACTTCTACTTTTGTTAGATTTTACCCAGATCTTAGAGAAAAGCAGCTTTAGCTGGACAATGGAAAAACAGTCTCCAAGGTAATTACTTGTCATTAAAAAATTCCCTGGGAAGAGACATCTGCTTCTAAAAAGCCCAGATACAGTATGTATAAAAAAGCAAAAAGCTATATAACAGAACATACAGCCCCATCACAACTCCATAATAGATGACATAAGTCATTGACAAACTGATACAAGTGTGCACAAGTGTATGTCCAATGCAAACATGTAGGAAATCCATCAGTGAGTACCACAGCTAGAAAGAAAAAATTAAATAAATTCTGAATAACTTTCTCAATTAAAGAGTGAGAAAGAGATGGGTTCTCAGCAAGACCAATTAGTTAGATTAATAATAACCAAGTTTGTGGAAAAAGAGCACTCACCAGCATTTAAAGGAGAAAATGGGCTCAATGAAACCACACAACAAAGACAGAAATACAGAACCTCATTTACCTGGCTGTATGACCTCCAATTTGTACCATAAGGCACAACATTTCTGTTTTACAATATTGTAAAGTTGTCACATAAGTCTTCATAGCTTAATCATATAAAGAAATTGCCTAAATTTTTCACCTGTTGTCATATTCTAGGAAATCTCTTATTAGACTTGAGATCAATTTTTACATCACCCCAGCTTTCTCCCCCAAGAAACACTGAAATACACTTTGTAGACCTTATCACACACTAGTAACGGTTTGGTCAACCTACACTTCCTCCAGCAGATAGGTCTTCATCTGTCACAGAGACAAAATTACACTTATCTCCAGTGGATATAAAAGCAGTCATCATGATCTGCAATTACATGTACACGTAAACCAGTAATACTTCTGCTTTTACTTCTACTCAAAACAGTACTGCACATACAAGCTACTAGGTCTGGAAAGAAGCACAGCAGACTGTTTTCAGGAAAAAATATCCTTTGCTGACACTAAGTAAACACTTTCTTAAAGTAATTTGTAATTAGTATGAATCTGTGATTTTTCTGGTTTTAACATTAACTGAAGGAGACATTAAGAATCAACTAAAGCAAGTGAATCTGTTAATTACAGTGCCTGTACTAAATACAAACAAAGCAGGCAGTGTTTCGAGACAATGATCTGTAACTGCAGATATAAAAAGTTTGCAGATTGACCAGGTTCAACTAAGAGTCAGTGATTCTCCACCCTAGGCTGGGTTACAACACTTACAAATGGGACTGCAAACCAACTTCATTAAATTTGTTACACGCTGGATCATGAGCTTGGCTGAAACAAGGAGGAGAATCAAAGAGAAATCCAAGTCCAAAATAGTTTGGGATATGTTCCCAAGACAACATGCAGCAAGAGACTTACAGGCTCCATCTGAAGATACTCTAGTCCTAAACTGATGACATTTCACCACCTTGTGCCTTCTCCAGCAACACGTAGTAAATTTAATACCATCAGGTTGGGACATGGGCGGGTTCTTATCTTGGAAAACCTTGTCAGACAACATTTTTTTTTTTTAAGGTTACATTAGAATAATGAAAAAGGAAGACAAAAATAGTTTAAGGGGTGTTTCTACTTGAGCTGAATTGCCAGTCAGCAAAGACTAGCAAGTTATTTTTCATCTAAGAACAAAGTTTGGAAAAAAAAAAATTTGATAAAACACACTAGATGCTCTTTTGACATGAAAGCATGCTGAGTATTTAAGATCATAATAGGTAGAATTCCAACTAAAAAACATTTGCAAAGAGACAAGAAGTTTCCATTCCTAAGTCAAAGGGAGCCAAGTCTACACTTGGTTTAAGAAAGGGAGGGAAAAAAAAAAAAAAAAAAAGAAAAAAAAAATCTATCTAGCTCTGCTGTTTTCCAGAACACATTTTATCTAAGTTAAGTTTATCTATGCTTTGAGCCATTCCTACTTGGAAAAAAAAAAGAATTTTAAAGTCACCTTCTATTTACCCAAAGAAAGGAAAGAGTATCGCATGTGCACACACATTGACAGCATCTGAAACAGTGCCAAGTTCAATTCAAAAGTCTTAGAATAATTGAAGGAAAGTTTACATATCATAAATAACTGCACGATTTGTACCACCTGACCTTTCAAGTCCACATTTCTATTCACAGAATTCTGATTCTATAATATAGAAAAGCCCATTCCTATTACCTGCAAATTTACAGAAAAATAAAGTCTCACAGGAACCTGCTATTTTATATAGTTACTTTCTTATATAAAAGTTTGGGAACTTCCATGTTGATAGAAGGAAAACAGAGCCCTTAGTCATACGTTAAATTTTCCAACAGAATTACAGCAAGGAGCTTCAGCTACAAATAGACTACATATTTGTTCATTCCTGGTGCCCTGCCCAACTTCAGGAGGGCTTTAGTTTCTAAATAGGATAACCATCAGTGGATAGAAATTTACTTTTTTTTTGTAGTCAGCATAGTAATAAGGTAACTTTGAGATGTATTTGAGATGCATTTTAAATACATAACTTCAAAGTATCCAAGATTACACAACATCACCCAAAGAAAAATGCTAACCCCTTTATTCTTAAGTACATCTATAGTTAAGATAAATGAAATGTTTTTTCTATCACTGCCTATCACACGTCTCACATCTGACAGACCGCAGCGACGGGTGTCTCACTAGAACGAGCAACACAGTGGGAATAAAACATGGGAGGTTATCACATACAGAACAAAATCCAACTCAGCAATATCAGAGCTACACAGCGTGAAGTGTGTGTGTGTGGAGCATGAATAAGACAAGGATTTTACATAAAGCACAGGTCAAGAGTCGCAAAAGGGTTGATAACCTTCTGGAGGTGGGCTTAGACTCCACTTTACCCTTGGAAAGGCAAACATGAGCTACTCCCTGTTTCAGCAAGCACCCTCTTTCCACCCACTGGAAGTGCCAATGGCAAGAAGCAACACAGGATACCTGCGTGTTGGACGGCGTTAATCCTTCATGCTTTGTCTACTGCATAAGACAATACCATGTTCATGTGGAAGCAAAGACACTAGGTACTGCATTTTGAGAATGTTTTGATAAAAGCATTTGCAGATAAACCTTCTGTCTGTGTAGGTCTTTATTATACAAAATGCAGATAAGCTGTATCATACCTCCCTTCCGATGGACTATCATGGAAGTAAACGTTCAGTATGTTAAAGAAGTCTGAAAAGTCAGACCAAACCAATGAGCTAGACAAGCAGATCAAGCATGTTTAAAATTAAAAAACCAGCATGTTATACAAGATAAGCTACACATCAAAGCTGTAGATCTAAATCAGTAAAAATGGTGTTAAAACTGCAGACTTGGACTCAAGGGTCACTTAAGTACTGGATTATCCCAAGACAACCAAACAAACGTTCAAGAAAAACACACCCAGATTTCCTCAAAAGAGCAGAGGTTGGTTTTTTTTTAATTGTTTGAAGAAATTTGGATTAGAAGTTTGGAACACTGTATCCCTTATGAATTTCCATTAAGTCCAAGTGAAGATTCTACTCAAAAGTTCTCAAAACACTTCTACACTCCTTAGAGATTATTATTCAGCGCCCCAGAAAAATAATATTCTGTAGCTGTTTTCCTTACATATGTATGTTACAGAGTCTTTACTGTTACTCTACTGATGTGATGCTTCATTACATAAAGCCCAACACATAAATACCAACTAAGCCTTCCTTTTGAAGGAAGGATATCACCTTTACAAGCACCATGGGATGTATATTGCAAGAATACTGAAGCTTTTATGACAATGAAATGAAGTCTAATGGGAGAAATGACTGTGATTTAAAATTTAGAAAATAACAGCTTGAAAAAGCCATGGATTTTTTTCTGTAATGCAGCCACTTGCCATCATCTCACCTCTGAAACAATCATTCAAAGAATATGAGTACTAGGTCTCTATTACTTTCTAAATTAACAGTAACTTAATCATAGAACACAATCATTAGCTGCTGTAAAACTTTATGAAATTTACAAACTTAAAGTTACAAGCTGGTATTCAGTTAATTACAGCACACACCAGAGCACACAACCTGCTTTTCCTTCATCAGAGCAGTTTTATTCACGTTGTAGTAAAAGGCTTTACACCTAACTGAGCACACAAAGCTCTGGTATACAACACTGAGAATTTAAAAAAAAAAAAAAAAAGTCATATTGACACAATGTTCTTACTTTTAGAAGTTCAAAATAATGAAGACAGTGGTAAACAGGAGCAAGGAGCAGGCGGGGTAGAACATACTGAACAGCTTCTTTAAAGCCTTCACCTATTGACTAGAAACAAAGTAAGTTTCAGTTTTAAAACAATAAATGTATTGAAGTAACAATATAATGTAATTAAAATAGTAATATGGTTTACTTAAAAGAAAGTTACCTGTAAATAAAATGCTGCTCCCGGCTTTGATAACTGACTTAAAAAATGATCATGAAAACCAGGTCGCAAAATATCTTGTGCATAAGATTCATACGGATCAAATGCCAGTTCCTGAGAAGAAATACAGAATAATTTTACAAAACTGATGTAATATATAAGCTGCATATTTCTTGAAGAAAATCCATACGCCATACAGAAGAAAATCTTCTGCATACTTTTTCCAAAACATTTACAGGGAACAGTCAATACTTTATATGCACAGACTCAGAGTAATTCAGTCTAGAAGACATCTCTGGAGGTCAATTGGCTCAATTCCCTGCTCAAAGCAGGGCCCACCTCAGGGCCAAAGCCAGATCCAGCATCATAACTAGCTGAGGTAGCTCAGAGTCTCATTCAGTTCAATGCCAAGTACCTCCAAGAAGAGAAGGGACCAAAACCTCTCTGGGTGGCCTAATTCCATTGTGGAGCTGTTGCAGATTTTTTGCCCTGGTATCTAAGCATGATTACTCTTTTTACCATTCTCTCCCATCTTACCTTGTTCTCTACTGTAAGCCCCCAAAAAGAGCCTGCCACAATCCTTTCTACACCTGCCCTTCAGGTAACTGAAGACAGCAATGAGATCTCCTTCCTCAGACTTCTAAGACTGAATAAACCCAGCACTTTTACCCCTCTTCATACATCACAGGCCTTAATTCCTTAGTTGTCAAGGAAATCTCAGGTGTAAGCATATCTTGCATTAGAAAGACCAAAACTGGACACAATACACCACATGTGGTCTTAAGTGCTACACAGAAATGATCCCTCAGTCTGCTGGCTACACTTTAACATAACCCAGTGGGCAGCTAGCCTTCACTGCCTATTCCTGGGCATCTCCAAGCCCGGTTGAGCAGTTCTGCTCTTTAGCCAGGCAACTAGACCACTGCATGGGATTTGTTTGGTCCCCAGTGCAAAACTTCATGTTGCCTTTACTTAACTCCATGAGGTTCCTGTATATCCATTTCTCCAGCCTGTCATGTCCCTAAAGAAGGAGCCCTGTCATCCTCTGTGTCCCCCTACAAATTGGCATCACTTACAAACTTGATGACAGACCTTCTCCCACAACACTAACAGAGTTACCAACCCCAGTATCAAAGCCTGAGGAATGCCACTAACCATTGGCCACTCAAGGGACTTTGTGTTGTTGATGATAGTCCTTCAGGTCTGCCAGCCCAGCCAATTTCCCACCCGCTCTATGATACAACTAGCTAGACTTCACCCCACCAAGCCAACTATAAGGGTACTATGAGAGACTGCTGAAGGCCTTATGTTCAGAAAAGGGATATTAACTGCTCTTCCCTTCATCCATGGAGCCAGCCATCTCCTCTTAGAAAGCCATCAAGTTGTAGGTACAGTTTGTCCTTCAGAAATCCGTGCTGGCTGTTGCCATCACCTTACAGTCCTTCACATGGCTGGATGTGAATTCCAGTAAGATTTGCTAATTGTCTCAGGGACAAAGGAGAAGCTGATCAGCATGTAGTTTCTTCCTCATTGGTCTTTCTGAGATTGGGCACAACACCTTATCTCTGGTTACTGAAGACCTCCATAACTCACCACTTAATTTCAAGAATTCTGAAAATTTGCCTTGCAATGACACTAGCCAGCTGCCTCAGCATTCTGTCTTGCCCCACAGACTTACATAGATACCCACCTTTAGATGAGCAGTCCCTAACTTTAGCTTTGGCTTTCATCTCTCAATCTTTGGAAGCAGGCCTAAATGGGAAACCAAAAAGCACCACCCAAAGTAGGCTTGAGTACCTCAGTCCATTACATGTCCTCCAGCACAGGGGCTCTCACCCCATGAACAAGATACCTACATTTTCTACCATCTTTGTCATGCTATTTTACAAGCCCTTCTTGCTTTGTTTTGCATTCATCATCAAGTCAAACTCCATCTGAGCTGCAGCCTTTTCAACGCTATTTCTACCTGCACAGACAATGCCTCTACATTCCTCCTGGAAAGTCTGTGTTTCTTTTTCAATCAGAATAACTTATGTTGTAAAAGACCTTAAAGATCACCAAGTCCAACCATAACCCTAAGACTACCAAGTCCATCACTAAACCATGTCCCTAAGCACTATGTCTACATGTCTTTAAATACCTTCAGGGATGGTGACTCAACCACTTCCCTGGGCAGCCTGTTCCAATGCTTGATTACCCTTTCAGTGAAGATTTTTTTCCTAATAGCCAGTCTAAACCTCTTCTGGCACAACTTGAGGCCATTTCCTCTTGTCCCATCACTTGCTGCTTGGGAGAAGAGACTGACCCCCACCTTGTTACAACCTTCTTTCAGGTAGTTGTAAGGACCAGCAAGGTCTTCCTTCAGCCTCATTTCCTCCAGGCTAAACAAACCCAGTTCCCTCAGCCAGTCCTTGTAAGTCTTCTTTTCTAGACCCTTCACCAGCTTTGTTGCTCTTCTCTGGATGCACTCCAGCATCTCAATGTCTTCTCCATAGCAACAGGCCCGAGTTTGGTTAAACAGGAAACTCCAAACTGTGCTTGTCCTTGCCTCCTGCTACACCTATCCCTTTCCTTAGGGACTGGGAATGCATATTCCTTGTATTTTGAATATGCTGCCTTTGAAAATAAACCAGCTCTCCCAAGTCCCTTCTTTACTCAAGACCAGTATGATCCTGCTGCCCAATTCCCTGAACAAACTAAGTCTACTCTCCCAAACCCCAGACTTTTCAGTCTGCTGCTCTCCTGCACTTTTCTCAGGATCTTAAACTCTGCTATCTCTACCACCTGTGGCCAAGCCTGCCAGAAGCTATAATGTTACTGCCAGTTCTTCCCTGTCCATGAGAAAGAGGTCAAGTGCAGGACTTTCCTTAGTTGGCCCCTCATTATGTGCCACAAAAAACTGTCCCCAGTGCCCTCCAGAAATCTTCTGGATTACTTCAACCACAATAAGTTTCCCACTCAGCAGATGTCAAAAAGGTTACTCTCCCACAAGAAGTAGGGCCTGTGATAAGGAAATGACCCTTAATTGTTTAGAGCTGGTTTTGGCCAGTTATTGACTGTACAATCTGTGTAGTAGAAGCTCAACCACAACACGTCCTTTGGTGGCCTCCTCCTCTGATCCTGATCCTTAAGCATTCAAGCAGCTCATCATTCATTCCATAACAGATCTCCATGTATTTGAGCAGATTTTTTGTTAAGCCTCCTGGCCTCATCTTCCTCACCCATCCCTCCTGAATGCCTGTATTAGTTCGTACAGCTCTCCATCATGCGACCGTTCTCACCGTGTCGCTAATTCCAGCCACACAGCAGTTCATCAACTTAGCAAGCCTGCTGGCAAAGACCACCTCGTCCCACTGTCTGTCCACAGTAATCCTAATCTACACCTGACTTATAGGACCCCTTTATTTCTGCTGCAGGCTACTCACAGGTGTGGTCTCTGGCAATTTTTTTCTCCTTTGTTCTCTAAAGTTTAAAACAGCGCTATAAACACTGAGGTTTAGAAACTAAAAAGTAAAAGCACTCTCAAAAATGGGCAGTCTATTCATCACAGTGGGGCTGGAAGAAGAGATCTCAACCTAAACAAAAGCAGCTAGAACAGAGATGTACTTAATTTAAGTGTAAGTCATTAAAATACAGATGAATAGCAAAAAACCACCGCGCAAGTATTTTCTTACCTCTGCCATGTCTTCAAAACAGCTGCCTACTAGTGGATGAGGACTACCTTCATCTGTCATTTCAACAGTGTCTTCTATATGACCCAATAACTTCACACTAAGTTCATGAATGTCTGATATACGGCTAAATATATTTTCCACATCCTGCAAAAAGCAACAGCACCACCCAAAAAATCAACAGGGAGTTGGACACAATTTCGAAGAGGAAGAGTGTTGTATGCAAAACTACTCTGTTACAATATGACAGCCAAGCACACACTGAAGCAGAAGATTTTATATTTTGCTATATATTTTCCATATAACATATATAAGATCAAAGAATTAATTTTTAAAATAAATGCTATATAAAAATGTATACAAATTCACAATGATTCTAACATGGCAAAGAATAGCGGTGACAAATCTTAAATGACAGGTCTGCAAGTGAATATAAGTACATTGGGTGGTTTCTTCCACAAAATCCATGCATCCCCACAAGTGCTGCTTTACTGTTTCCATCTCAGAACTGAAGACAGTGTTTCTTCTATTATTGCTATCTTAAACTGGGTAATAGTTAAGTTCTAGAAGTGCTCATAGCAATTTTTTTTGTTTGTGGTTTGTACAATACTTACATGAGATGAAAACAGTTTGGAGTTGGAGGCATATGGCTCCCTAAAAACTCTGATAATGAGATTTAGTTCCCTTATATATTGTCGAACCTCTGCCATAAATGACTTCACTAGGTCATAATAGGTTTGCTCCCCTGATGTTGAGGGTTCCTCATCTGATAAAGTTAGTGCACTTAAATCTTCTACATCTTGATGGAACATATCCATTAATACCTAGGTAGTGAAGAAAGGGAAATTCACAAAGTGAGAACAACTTCTCAAGATCTACCAGTAAGTTACCAGTAAAGGAAATCTATTATTCCCATGAAATCAGACTGATCAGCACTAAGATTTATGTATTATTCTGCAGTTGGTTGAGCATTACAAAAGCAATACTCATTATTATGAATTTGCAAGTCATTATTTACAGTGGCAATTCCTAAAGAATTACGAGTCATTTAGACCAATCCAGGCATCTCTCCAAGAACGTGGCCCTAAAATCCATTATTATTTTAAGAAACACATTTAGCTGTACTCTATTACTCTGAGTTAGCTGTGCATAATCTAGGTTTCTGAAGAAGCTATATTATCTGAAGTTAAAAAGTGTGTGCATTCTGGCTTTTCAGCTTTATCTTTAACAGCAAGTCACACATGATCATGCTCAGAACCCTATAACCTAGCTGTGATGAATATTGGCCTGCCCATACACTGAACATGGCCTGGTTCCTGCTCCCAAATCCTGAGCCCTCTTTTTAAAACAGACCCATGAGGAAAGGCACCAGCTTCAGAAAAGATGGCAGTCATATTGTACAGACAAAAGGACCTTAAAAACTCTGACTACCAGAGGTCTCTATTCATACCCAAGCAGGGATTACTAAACACAACTAATTTCAACAATTCAAATTTCTTAAAAGAAATGGATCACTGCACAGTTCTTCCAAATATTTTATCTGAGCCGGGAGTCATTACAATGACTTAACAAGTGGCAAACAGAAATCACACTTTGGGTTGCTTCCATGATACTCAAAGAACATCTTAAAGGTAAACTAAGTTGACCATGTATTAGTAAAAGGCATTTTAATTTGAAGTAGCAAAATGAAAACCTAAAGAGGGTTCAAAGTCTAACAGTGATGTAGTAAATCTCAACAAGGCAGTACACAGTTCCACATACAAGGTGACACTGTCCTGGGATAGATAGATGGGACAGTATTTATAAACAAGCCTGCTGTCCAGAGCTATAATACATCCAGGAAGTCACAAAGTATATCAAGCAATACATGTGAACTTCAAAATCAGGCAGAACTTAAGTGCTGCTTGCCAGCCTCCCTTCAAACAGAGGTGAAGCCATGGCAACCTACACCTGTTACTGCAGAGAATGACACGACCGTTGTCAGTCAGTGAAAAGACTGAGGAAGATTGCAGGATCAAAGCTGTAAATACTCCTCTGAGAACCACAGGAGGAAAGGCTAACACATTAAACACAATACTAGGGTTCTTAAAATGATGGAAAACGATGTTTTTCAAAGTAATTGTCATGGTTTAGGCCCACTCAGCAACTGAGCACGACGTGGCTGCTTGCTCACTGCCCCCTCCCCCTGCTGTGGGATGGGAAGGAGAATTGGAAGAAAAAGGAAAAACCACGTGTTGAGATAAAGAGAATTCAATAGAAGAATGCAAGGAGAGAAGAAACAACAGTAATAACAACAGCAGAAATGAAATGAGACATAAAACGAGTGATATAAACCACAGCGCTCAGCGAAAACGCCTCACCCTGCCAGGCACAAAACCTGCCTCCTGAGGCAGGTCAGTATGGCACCAAAGAGCCCTTTTTCATCCTGGATGTGGCCCTTCCAGCTTCTTGTGAAAATTAACCCTACTCTAGCCAAAGCCAGGACAATTACAAGAACCAAAGAACTAAACAAGAACTAAACTTTGTAATCAGCCATGCCAAATATGACATTTACTCTGATATCTACAGTTAAAATTTTTCTTTAAAAGCATGTTACAAACACTTCTCCAGAAGACATGTCAATTAACCAAGCTGTTGACTACTGATCATGATTGACAAATGAACCGTTGTGCAAGAGAATATCTGGGGATCTGTAAGTTCAAGAGATGGTCTGGCAGGTTCATCAGACTTGAATATTGGAAGAAACACATCAACCTAGAGCAGTCATTCTTCACCCAGGTCTTGTCCTAACACTCCTCAAAAATATACAGGTCTAGTGAGGAGGGAAATGGGCACACAGCAGGTTCTTTCTCCTAGTGAGTGAAAGGACCCTGCTACACATCCTGGTCTTAAGCTTCTCTGAAAGCAGAACAATGGACATTTTGCATAAAGACTGACTTTTTTTCTGCTCTAAGAACAGACGGTGATTCATCTTCCAAAGCCAATGAAAGTACATGGAACTCCAGTTATAAGGAGAATCCTAAATAATTCTGGGGAATGAGACATTATAGGGCTACTAGTGTAGGAAACTACACAGAATACTGCAGGTATTCTAGGAGACCCCAATACATGCAACTTTACTTCACACATGCAGCTCTAGCACATACATGAACTAGAAGATTCCAGGCTGTATTCACCAAGTATCTCACTGCTATGGAGTCAACAGAAACAAATTTAGGTAACCATACCCTAGATACTGAATTTAGAGCAATCAGAAGCACGAGCAGATAGTAGAAGAAAAACAGCTTGCATTTTACTGGAGTTTGGTATTGCAGATGAGGCAAAATCCTCCAGATGGATGGACTGCACAAAAGCAAGTGTGAAAATGCTTGAGGAAAAAAAAGGCACACAGAGCCAAGAAGTTTTTCTGGTTGTTCCATTTCGAAAAATAAAACCAAGCAGAACACATATTATGGGTACTAACAACACATCCTGAGCTTACCTATGAGGAAGTTATGGGAGATAGTAAAGCAAGTTCAACTTGCTAACTGCTGGCTGGATGGCCAGGCCCAAAGAGCGGTGCTGAATGGGGCTAAATCCAGTTGGTTGTCGGTCACAAGTGGTGCTGCCCAAGACTCAGTGCTGGGGCCACTTCTGTTTAACACCTTTATCAATGATCTTGATGAGGAGATGGAGTGCAACCTCAGTAAGTTTGCAGATGACACCAAGCTGAGCAGAAGTGTTGATCTGTTTAAGGGTAGGACAGCTCTTCAGAGGACCTGGGCAGGATGGATCAATGGGCTGAGGCCAATGGTATGAGGTTCAACAAGGTCAAGAGCCACATCCTGCATCTGGGTCACAACAACCCCAGGCAATACTACAGGCTTGGGGATGAGTGGCTGGAAAGCTGTTCAGCAGAAAGAGACCTGAGGGTACTGATTGACAGCTGGGTAAATATGAGCCAGCAGTGTGCCCAGGTGGCCAAGAAAGCCAACAGCATCCTGGCTTGCATCAGCACTAGTGTGGCCAGCAGGAGTAGGGAAGTGATTACACCCCTGCACTCGGCACTGGTAAGGCCACACTTCAACTACTGTGTTCAGTTTGGGACCCCTCAACACAAGAAAGACATCAGGGTGCTAGAGTAGGTTCACAGAAGGGCAACGAAGCTGGTGAGGGGCCTAGACAACAAGTCTTATGAGGCACAGCTGAGGGAATTTGGGCTGTTTACTCAGGACAAAAGGAGGCTGAGGGGAGACCTTACCACCCTCTACAACTACCTGGAAGGGGGTTGTAGTGAGGTGAGTGTTGGTCTCTTCTCCCAAGTAACAAAGGATAGGACAAGAGGATGTGGCTTCAAGTTGTACAAAGAGAGGGTTAAGTTGGATATTAGGAAACATTTCTTCACTGAAAGGATTATCAAGCACTGGAACAGGCTGCCCAGGGAAGTGG